CTGCTGAAGGATTAGCTCCTTGTCTGTGCTGTAAGTGAACCAAGAATAAAACAAATTACAGGTGTATGTGTGTTCTTGTACTTGCTATATAGGGAGGACCAAAAAAAGTTTGTTTGTTTTTTTTTTTTTGCTATAGAGTGAAGACATTGTGATGATATTTTAATGAGCACCTACTTTCTGAAACACATTTTTTAAGGTTAAGACTTGGTTTTAGGGTTCAGGTTAGAACTAGGCTTGGTTTGGGTGTTAGGAATTAGGATTCGAGTTAGGGCATTTTTGGAAAGTGAGAACATTTTGGCCAGTCCTCATTTTCTAAAATACTTTTTTCAGGGTTAAGACTTTAGGGTTCAGCTTAGAAATAGGTTTAGGTTCATTTTAGGGTTTGGCATTGAGTGTCCTCACAAAGATAGAAGTACAAGTATTGGCTGTGTGTGTGTGTGTCTGTGTGTTTGTGTGGTAGATGTGCACCCACAAGCTAACTAACCCACTAGGAGCTAATTATGTGCTAGTCTAAATACAGGGAAGATGGGTTTCTGGAATCATCTTAAAAATTGTTTTAATATGAATTAGGGGCTATCATAGGTCTTAGGTAAAGTAGGACAAGTAAGGCAACCAGCTGCTCCCCCTGAAGTATCCTGTGACAATATTCTGGAGGTTACATAGTGCAAGGCCTTATGTGGCTGCACCATGACCAGAATATATTTAGCTGTTCTACTCAAACCCACTTTACATGGTAAGTGTGTTAGCAGTGCAAACAAATACAAATTATTAACTCAAGAAGTTTAATACATTTGAAGCAGAAAACCATAGTTTGTCTCAGTCAAAGCAAATTCAAGTATAGGTCTACAGTATTTGTTAGTTGTCATCTTTAGATATATTATCCTGGAATTAGGTTACACTTACTGGCTTTAGCATGTTATATGTTGTCACCATCTGCTTTCTTGGCAAGAGTTAAATGAAGAAAGTGATACCACTCTCATGCCTGTACAGTCTTTATATGAAGCTGGACTCAGGAGCCTGTTATCCTAGCTTAGCATAAAGACTGGGAGCAAAAGAAGACAGCTACAGTAGCTTGGTTCTGTTCAGTGGTAGCAAAAATCCATCTACTAGCTCCACTAGCCTTAGTGCTTTAACACACATTCTGTTGGTATAGTCCAAAGACATAAAGGCCTGGATGACCTGTAATTTTTTACTTCTAAACTCTGACAAAACCACAGTTATTGTACCTGGGCCTGAAAATATGTCACCAAGTATTTGCTTAAGGGGGATTTGTTGGGTTTTTTCTTTATAATAATAATAATAATAGTAATATCTACGTAGACCTTACTTTGTAAAGTGTTCTGAGACAACCTTTGTTGTGATTTGGTGCTAAACTAATAAAATTGAATTGAACTGAATACTAGGCAGAGTTTGTCAGTGTCAGACTGGGGCAGGCTAGCTGTTTATGCTAAGCTAAGGTAATGGGCTGATATCTTTAGCTTTATATTTAGATGTAGATGATAGAGTGGTATCAAAGTACTCTTGGCAAGAAAATGAATAAATTTATTTCCCAAAATATCAAACTTCTACTTTATAAAACTTGTGCTTCATAAGTTGAAAGTTGACCTACATTTTCACTCCTCCCGCCAAGAAGAGACACATGATACAGACAGATGTTTTATGTTCTTGCTACTGTAGAAAAACATTCAGGCATGGTGCTCACAGACATGATTACCTCTGATGCATAATGCTGATATCCTCTAAATTTATACAACAGTAGGGACTCTTGTTGTTTTCTGTTATACACTGATAAGGTGAATGCTGATAAAATTCATCACCTCAAAATGGTTGATTCAATCAGTACCTTGCACAATGAGGAGTTCTAATTACAGGACTGATTTTCAGCTGTCTGATAACTGAGATGTGCATTCCTTTTAAATTTGATGTAGTTATTGATACTGTCACGCCACAGATAAGCCACACCCTATGAGACCTAAAGCCTAATCTGAGCTGTCCTGTCAGCACACACTACAGGACCACTATAATTTAGATCAGCAGGTTTGTAGCTGTTCCCCACACTGACTCTCTGCTTTCTCCTGCACAGAACATGTCCCTGCCCTTTGTGGTGGTGTTGCCCCTGTTGATAATTGTGACAGCAGGGGTGTACTACGTCTACAATGAGGTCATACACTTCATGTCCAGGTCCTTAGTGCGAAACAAAGTGGTGGTGATCACAGATGCTGTGTCCGGGGTGGGAACTGGTAAATGATTCATCTTGTGTTCTTAATATTTAACCTTACATGCATAGCCATACAGGTTTGTATATTAGCAGAATGTCTCAGAAACAGATTCCGTGAAATTTCACCACATGTATAAACCCTGGGGGCTACAGAAATTGTGATTCAGATCTTAAATTTGTGCCTTGTGACCATTATTATATATGAGAAGACAGACAGCTACTAATTAATACATAACCAGTTAATTAGCGAGATCTAGAGGCACTGCCTGACTTTTAAAACTTTGGACAGAGCCAGGCTAGCTGTTTGAGAATCAGCTTTGCAAATATTCACTGAAAAATCAGTCTGTAAAAACATAGCCTTACAGGGAGCTAATGTAATAATATGATGTCTATAGCTTCCTATTTAACGTACACACTCAAGAGTGATATTGATCTTTTAATCTCAGCAAAAAGCAAATCAGCATACTTCCCAAAATGTTCACAGATTATTTTAATAAAATCACACCGTTACTGTAGATAATATTTTTTCTCTGTGTTGGTCAGAATGTGCTCATCTCTTCCATAAGGGCGGTGCCAGGCTGATTCTGTGTGGGACGACCTGGGATAAGCTTGAGTCACTATATGACTCTCTGACCAATGAGGCTGACCCCAGAGAGGTGAAGAAATAAATAAAAATGATGCATGTCAGAAATAATTTCATCATAATGCCTCTGAATAAGGCCTTCCAATCTAATACCTTTACTCTTGTTTGCAGTGCTGAGTCAAAGCAAACCACCCATCTGAAAAACAAATCTTTGACTCTAAGGCTGCTCCAGCAAACACTATCTCATGTCTACTAATAAACACTGGAAACTTTAGCAGTACAGTAACAGTTCTTATCAGACACCAAAGCTCTCATCTTTCCACAAAATTCCTCCAGCAGCCACCAGGAATTAACATGACACTGACCTGACATGTTTGGTTTGAAGTTTAAGTAAGAGACTAGCAGGTTCTGACCTTGTTTTAATCATAATCCCATTTCTCAGATCACCACTTCCACCTCTGAGCAACACAATACCAGGATATCCTCTCTGATAGCACACTGTCTTCCATGAATCTTCCATAGACTGGCCAAAACATATATGCCTATACAGATATCATCCAGCTAGCAAAGATATGGAGTCACAGTTGCCTATGTTAAGCTGTCAGTGACACAGATTAAAATCATTTCTGTTTCCCATTGACGTTCTTTTCCTTGGGCTTATCATTGGCTGGAGGTCACAGCCTTTGTTGCTACCGCAGCGTAATATCAAATTATATATTCAAATTATAATGACATATGTTTCTTATTATTACTACACACAGATGAGTTTCAGTAAATCCGTCTGGTCATAAAAACACATCACTAGATCTTGTTCATCCAAGAAACTTTAAAGTCATTCCACAATACCAACATATTTCATCAAGATAAGAAACCTCATTTTATATATTGTGACCAGACTTTTCATGCCTTTTATTATAGATGGGGCAGAGATGCGGAATGATATACGACATAAATCCCCAGCTAGAGAATCAGAAGCAGAGTAGTTCATGGTTAGCACTTTAAACCATATAGACCATCATGGCATCCCCAAACAAGAAACTATTTTGCACGATGAGGTGTTATACTGGTAAAATATTTTCTAAAAAGGAATTCTGATATGTTGTTATATTGACAAAAGGTGCAAATGCCTAAGAAAGTGGCAATGAAAGTTTTATTTCAAATTGGTGAAAATGTCTTTAAAGTCATAATTTCAAAGCTGTGTCAAAATGTAAACAAATCCATAAAATATGCTGATAATGGACCCTGGGTACTTAACTCTTAAGAAAGCAAATTACTTTTACATAATGTTTTTTATCTGGACAAAAGCATATTTATGATAAACAGCTCCTCACTTATCAGTCTTATATTTTAAGCACATAATTATAGCCTAATGTAAAAATATATACAGTAAAAACTTTACAAAAACCTTTTTTGACCGGGTGGCAACACTACATTGCTGTACCAGTCAAAATTCTGTTTGATAAACTCTACATGTTGTCCACACATAGTAAAATACAATTTGGTGTCTCCCTAGACATTTGCCCCAAAGCTGGTGATCATGGACTTCAGTGATATCGACAGCATGGAGGATGCGATGTCTGAGGTGTTGGAGTGCTATGGCTGTGTGGATGTGCTGATCTGTAACAGCAGCATGAAGCTGAAGGCCCCGGTGCAAAATATCTCTCTGGAGTTGGACAGAAACATCATGGACATCAACTACTTTGGGCCCAGCACTCTGGCCAAAGGTGGGCTGGACATTTCTTATAATATCACCACCACACAGACTTCCTTTACTGTTTGTACTGGTCTCTTTTTCATCTATATGATAACATGTCCAAATAATGTGGCAGGTGTTCTTCCAACAATGATCTCCAGAAGATCAGGACACATTGTGTTGGTCAACAGCATCCAGGGCAAGCTGGCTATTCCATTCAGAAGTTCATGTGAGTTGGAAACAAACGTGTAAATTTTTTCAACCAGGTTAAAAGGGCTGGTTCACCCAAACGACAAAAATGAAAAAACTGGTGGATATCTCAAAACTTGGACAAATAAAACCAAACTATCTGCATAACAGATATTACTAGATAAGATGAAAAATGTGTTTTATCATAAGATAAAAAATGATGTAATAATGATGCTTACTGTTGCCTTCAGTACTTATACTTTAAATTAAATACTAACAACCTCCTGAGGTTTCAAACACGTAGTTCTGTTCTCACAGTATGGTGTAACCGAGACATGGCAGAATACAATTAGATGAAGTGTGTATTCTCCAATGCACTGAATGAGACATCTTTATGGGCAAGTCATGTGTTTGTGCACAAAAATGACAACGCATGTGTTACTGCACCTTTTAGATGCTGCATCTAAGCATGCGGTACAGGCCTTCTTCGACTGCCTGCGGACTGAAGTGGAGGAGTATGGGATAGTTGTCAGCACAATCAGTCATACCTTCATCAATGTCTCTGAACTGCCACCAGCTGAGGAGCAAATCCCTAAACCAGGCATCCTGGCTGCATGTGAGTAAAAGAACTGGTAGGGTTTGAGAAATGAAAGGAGGTGTGACTGTTTCTTATTTGGTGAAGGGATGTTTGCTTATGAGTGGAGGAAATAGTTCAACGCCATTTAAATAGCCGTAATATCCATTTTTGCCAGTTCATATATAAATAGATCTGTTCTTCCACAGATATCGCCAGCCAGCTGACCCATGGCGTGCGCCCATCAGTCCTGGCTAATGAGATTATGGAAACGGTGAACAGGAAGAGGAAGGAGGTTGTGCTGGCCCACCCAATCCCCAGGGTGGCCCTCTACCTCCGCTCCCTGTTCCCCTCCTTCCTCTTTGCTGTGCTGGCCGCTGGAGTGAAGGACTCCGTGCTGGCTGAGCAGATGAAATAGGAGAGAGACAGAAATGAAAGACAGAGAGGTGTTAAATGATTTGAAGCATGGATTATTTGAAAATACCAGATATGTAAATGTATGTGCTTGATGTGGGGCTTGATTATCAGCTGGGAAAAGTGGTGGGTAGCTGGTTTGAGGCCCAGGACCCTCAAGGGGCCCAAAGGCTCCAGTTTCACAGTGTGGCAATTTGTTAATGGTAGTTTAATTAGTAATTGAAATGTTTAATTAATACAGTTAGTTAGTACTTTTTGGCCAATAATAACCACTGAAGCAATAATTGATATTTTGCCACTTTGGGGGAAACAGACACTGACTTAGCTTATTAAACTGATATTGCTAACATGGTGCTTGTTTACACAACCAGCAGACATGGAACAACACTCGCATTCATTTGGAGTTATCTTTCTGTCCACCTAATACATTTAGTTAAGTCTAACATTCACTCTCCTTTTTGTTCTGTTTGGGTCTCCCCCAAGTCCAGAAAAACAATATCTGACTGTTGAGCTGCCAAGACTCTTTGCACTACTATTCCAGCTAACTGGTAATTTTGTGTATCTGCTGAATGGGGCTTTGCAGATAGCATACAGTCAGTTGTTTTCACTGAAGGCAACTGTCTCCCATAACCAAAAACAAGGTGAGCAAAATTTATAAAAACATAGGGTGTAAATGCAAAGAAATGAGCTGAAAGATGTTTAAAGGCCCTGTAGGGCTATAGGGAATTGTAATAATTAGGTGAGCTTATCATTATGATCAGCCAATTCAGAATACAAGCAGTCATGTAACTGTTTTAACTGATATGCTTTAACAGTAATGGTGTTTGAGAGGTAGTTTTAATTTTCTGCTCCCCTCATGTATGTAAATAGGTCCAGTACATAGTACATATTCTAGTACAACCCCACCTGTGACTATAACCTCAAAAAGATAATGAAATCTGGACATATGTTACAGAGTCACCAAGAAGTCAACATACTAAATTTAGTAAATGTGTGGAAGAACTATTATACTGGGTTGCAATAAAATGCAAAGGTGTACCTAATAAAATGACCACTGTTTAGGAGTGTAACATCAAAAAATAAAATAAAATTATATTAAATTAAACATTTTCAGGTGAGTGACTGGAAAATTTGTGAACACAACAAAGTTCTGGAAATAGCACAGCTTCAAATCATCCTCTGGAAATGTCATATCAGTTCATATTAAATCAAAACAACTGTATGAATCCCACCAGGGGAAACTGGTTTGGGGAGTAGGCTCGCAGAGTGAAAAGTGACCCACAACACACTTGTAACTAATGACAGGATCACAGTCAGGAGAAAGAGATTCTCCATGAAGTGGGATATTTTCAGAAAAGTCATATTTATCAAAGTGATAAATATGAGTCATTAAGGTCATTAACATTGATGCCCTCCATTCTAACAGGTTTCTTGTCCCTGTCACCGGTTCCCTGGATGGAAGAGGACAGAGATTCTATCACTCTTCTTGCTTCTGGCAGATTACCTTTGCTGTACTTATGTTCTATCTTATTCGTTTATGTTCTTTTAGCTTTCCTTATCTCATCAAGTAGAGAAATGTCTCTCAGCCTATGAAATAAGATATACTGTTATAAATGATACTGCCCAACAATAGATGTCCTTCACAACCAGCTATTAAAATGCTAATAGCAAAGTAATAATAAATTAAGTATGTTTTGTATTTTTTTTTAAATAATGTAAACATTTTTTATGCAGAGATTTCATATTATAATCGGATATTTTTCCATTGTTGTATTCGAACCGTTAAGTAAAGAATCTTAACTCTTGTTCCAACCCTGAAAATACAAACAAGATGCAAAGACTAGAACCAAAAATGGAACTAAAGGAATGTTTTTATTTTCCAAATAAATCTGCAAGTTTGGCTGAATTTGTATGTTCGCATACTGAAGTAAACTCAGTGATTTCAGTTGTGAAGGTCATTCACTGTATGTCCTCTAGGTGGCAGTAACACACAGTTATTAATGACATTAAGGCTTGTGAAACTGTAGAGTTCATCGGTTTCAGACCTTTCGCAATGGACTGTTTATGTGGGGAAACCTGTGCCAGTATTTACTCTGTTGAAATATTAATTAACTCTCCCAATTTGTCAGTTCTGAAATGTGTGATGATTAATCATGTAGTTTGGCCTGTTTTCATGACTGCACTTTCCTCTAATGTTGCAGTAATTGCTTGTGCAATGCAGTAAAACTTAAAGGAGAAGATAAAGAAATGAAAACTTTGGATTTTGCTCTTGAAATAAATTACTTCACCACAACAAAGTCACAGATGTTAGATGCAATACTTCCTATTACACATGAACTGGAACACAGTGTATAGTCTATGCTATTTGGTGATTACCACATGTATGCAAAGCACAAAAAAGAGAGTTCACACACCCAAATAAATATGATGCTTACCCAGTGTAACTGAGTGAACATTTAACCTAACCATATCTCGACTACCCATGCAGGAATGGGAAGAACAAACAAACTCGACACCGAAAGGCAGGTTGGAAGGTCAGAAAACATAACTTGCAGAAATAAATCAGAAATCAGACATAAAATGTCATCCAGAAGGTTGAACTTCAAGACAGAAGCCCTTTTTGTTTGTTTTTGTGTGTGTGTGTGTGTGTGTGTGTGTGTGAATAAAGTCCAGCTGGTATGCGTGAGGCTGTCTTCCAGGTCACCCTTCTCTGGGGACTTCAATGTCTTTTGTCTCCAGGGCCTCCGGACTAGAGCGTGCTTCTAATGCTCACATGAATAAATGCACCCCTGTAACATTTCCACATGTCAAACAGGAAGTATTTCTTTAGAACACTCAGCCGGACCCTCCAAATTGGCAGGGTTTTTATATTTACATATATCACACAGATCTGCCAGATCACGTGTTTCATTGCATACGACTGAGGTCAGTGCACACATGAATAATTGTTTAACAAGAGTTTTGAAAGAAGATCACAAACATGTTGTGTTGTACCAACCGTGGAGGTGTCAGATTTATTTCTGGGTAAAGGCAAATCAAACAGAAATGCATTGAGGCGTGCAGTAATATCTGTGAATGATCTAAGCCTAATCGTTTCTCTCAGTCATTTGTCTGGCAATATGTTGATAAGGCCCAAACAGGGCAAAGATGACTGTCCTGAAGCAACAATCAGAGTGATGCATCCTGAATGCGAGGCATGACTTATATATGAGAATCACCTCACAGGGACGTCTGCTGCTCACTGATGGTCTTTCCATGAGCGAGGTGATCACCCTTATCAATTTTTAAAGCCCCACTTATTGACACTAACCTGAATTATGGAGGTTATGCAGAGGCCTTGGTAATGATTCCCTATCACATACAACACCAGCAGGGCCGGGTCTGACTTTAAAATATTGGTAGATAGTGGACACCATTATTCCACTGAGTATTGTGATAATGTCTGTACAGTAGGGTTCTCTTTGTCCATCTGTTGTTGCTCTGGATGTTTCTACTCTGCCCTGTGGTGTAACTGTAAAGAAATGTCGAATGCTGACCATCACAGAAGGTTTACTGACCAGCAGAACAGCTGTATCAAAAGTGTCTTGCAAAACATAAAATTCTGTCTTCTTTCAACATGTTATGTTTATTTCATTTGTTTAGTGATGTTTAGCAGTTACTCTTGTAAACACTTCTGGCCCCGAGGCTTAATAAAATGAATGGCTGAAGTGTCAGGGGTTACCCAACAAAGCAAGAAAAAAGGGCATTGCTACTGCATACTGGAAATATGTTTCTCCATTTCTATTTTATTTAAGAGTAATACAGCTCTTTATTGTGTCATTTCACTCCTAGTGCTAAATAAAAACATGAAGTTTTTTTTCTGTGTAAATGTTATTATTCATTATTATTTATAAAAGTCAGATTATTGTCAATTTTGGACCTTAGGTTAAAAGCAAAACTGTAATAATTATAGGTCAATTTACTTACACCCTGTAAATGATTTTAACTATTACAGTAGTTATTGGTTATTCTGATATATTCTGATATAATATTTCTGTCCAGGTTGATTTGGCGATGCTTGAGGTTATTAGTTTTAACAACAGTGAAATAACATTTATCAGCCCTTGGGGGCTCCAATCAAATGAGCAGCTACTCTAAACAAAACACAGGAAGAGCAACAGCTGTGTCTGTTTACAGCTCAACTAAACAAAGTGGGGGCTGAGGGAAATCGCTGCATTAGGTTGTTTTAAAGCTGCACTAATCGATATCGTTATATTAACAATGCCTCATATGACATTGGAAAGTTGTCCCTTAGTGGGAGTTCAGACTGATTGTGTTGAAATGAAACTCCTTGTATTGGGGCTGTGTTGGTGATGGGTTGAGGGTGTTACATAGGTGAGTGCAATATGGCCACGCTGTGACGAGTTGACATGAGTGGTGTTATTCATGTCTCCAGGTGCCAAGTTTCCAGTGTGTTTTGGTTAGCCATGCTGCTAATGTAGCCTACTTTACATTAGCCCCAATGTCTACTACCAGTGTGTCGGCAAGGCAATGTGTTCTCATTCCCAGGGCCTCAAACATTGACGTTTGTCAAGTACGTTATGTGTCTCATACTGACGCTAAAGGGTGGCTTTGCCGTCCATATAAGGATACTCTGGGTTTTCATTTCATAACTGTGTTAGCCTCTTTCCATCTGTACACAAAAATAAAGTGGTTATGATTAGTCACAGAATGACATGTTTAGGCACAAAAACATTATGTTTATGTTTAGGAAAACAAAAGAAAAACACTTCATTACATACTGGACACAAATTCCGCTCTCCCATGGGAAAGTTTGATGTTTTGTTTGACCCACCATCCACTCCAACTGCCTCCTTAAGTGGTTTATCCTCCTTCATATACTATCATCTTGCTCTGGTTGTCAAAAATTGACATGAGCAAATATTGTATTGAAAACCCTGTGCGTCTCATACAGACGTCCATGTTATGTTTATTCACATCTCTGAAGCTCTAACTCTAAACACAGCCAAAGAGAATTGTCA